TTTCAAACCCCCGTTCTCCTTGATCGAGATCCAATGTATTATAGCATTGATCTTGTTAAGTCGCGACATTCGTAAAAGAAGGATGCCAATAATTCTATAGGTATTCTTTTAAATAGCTTCTTCAAATAGCTTCCGGTAAGGTATATAAGCTCACGTGAGCATCAGACAGTGTATTTTGATTAAAGTGAGACTAAAGGTTTTCCCATAATAGTGTTGTCATCAAGTAGTTCCATTGACGAGGTTAGGCATTCCGCAGCACCAGTTTTACGGCTAATCCTGCTTTCGGAAGAAGAACTGCGATCCGCACTTTTCAAATCAAATGATCTCATCAGACAATAAAATAATGTGTATGCAACTATTTCCTTCAGGGGACTCTTCAGGTTTTTCTTATAAGGCTAATTCAAAAGAATATATATGTAGACATCAAAAATATTAAAAGTACACGTGCAACAAGTAAACAAACAAGTAGACAAGCAAACATTGGGCACCACCGAAACTTTGTTGCACCAACACACTAGTGTAATTGCATAGAGTTATCCACTCACTTACTGCAACTACCGAAGAACAAGCGCTTCGACAACATAAGCCATAAAACACCAGAAAAATTAGATGCAACAACTGCAGAATATAATCAGCAGCTATTGGTGTGGTAGCTGGTTGTTGTAGCATTGTCGTCACCATCAGCGTTGCGCATCATCACCAACGTTGCCGTTAAGTTCGTTAGCAAAATCGCCACCAACTATGAGTACGTGCATTGGCGAAGTCCAAAAGTAGGGAATAAAAAGAGCAGAGCAAGCTAGCCTTAGCAACAACACACAACGGTGCCTGCGGATGCGGGCGCTTCACTTTGACTTTGGACGCTGGTGGCTGATGTGGCGTTGAGAGTCATTGATCTTTGTGCTGCATACATGTAAGTGTATGTATATTGCAACCAAAGACAGATGCTAACTCGGATATTGCCAGCAGATGCTCTTGCTGTTATTGCTGTGCGCTGGCAACCGCATTGCTGTTAAACAGACTGTTCTATGTTTTACTGTGCGGCCCATAAAGAACCATTGTGCACCGCCAAAAGAAGAGTCAGTACAGTACGAAGATGAAAGGCTGCTGGAGGCAACGCGCCAGCACCGGCACCGGCACCAGCACCACCAGCAGCAGTTGCAACAGCGCTGACACAACAGATTTTTAAATACTCACCAAACACATGCAACTATACACACATATATACATAAAAAATGTATCTGTAGTTGTCGTTTTAATAATCCCTTCTGGCTGGCGGTTGCAACAATGTTTCGCGTTGTCCTCACAGTTCAAAAGTCATCAACATTCTCTGTGCCTGTCTTTTCCGCACTTTTTTCCTCATTGTTTTTGTTCTCTACCCGTTACTGGTGTTTTTGTTTTTTTACTCTCCATGAGTGCGTTACATTGTCTGTGGCATGTTGCTAGTTCGTGAGTTTATTTGTTGCGAAAATAATTGTCAGCATTAATTTAACATAAGGAAAAGTCACTGAAAGCCAGCCGACGGACAGACGGACAGAGAGATAGACAAACGGTTGTTGCTATCCAATAGGTTGTTAAGTTTGGCGGATCAACTGCAGCTGTCGGTGGCTATCGGTGAACACAGGCGGACTGGGTGGAGCACATAGCTGGCGCTCACGATTTGTGGGCGGAATTTGTTAAACATTTAACGTGGACATTTCGTGTAGTTGTTAAACAAAATATATAGGTAGATATATAATCCATTACATTATGGTTACATAGAGATTTCCCGAAAAACTTGATATTTCATTTCATCGAAATTTTAAACATTTTAATCACAACTTTTAGGAAAATTTGAGAAAGTATTTCTTTGAGTAACTCAACCAACCTTCGAGGTGCGACGTTGTAAAAATTCAATGAAAGTCCCATTAATTTATGTCTGATATCTGACCTTTTTGATGTCAAACACATGAGGAAAGTACGAGTATTTCTAGCCGGCTGATCTATACTATTGTATATAAGATATTACATGGACAATGGACCAGGCAAGCTTATAGCCTCTGTAATAAAGTCTCCATAGTGCCAAGTACCATAAAATATCTCAAAAAATAATGAATTTTCGAGGAACGTAGCACCATACCGAAGCAGCAGTTGATCCTGTTGCAACAGATGAAATGTATGTTTCCGGAAATCAAGGAGAGGTCATGATCCAAAAAACTAGTATTGGCTCATTTTGCAGTCATCTTCGGGGGTAGAAACACTAATCATAAAAGAACACAACCTGTCCAAACAGTCAACAGATGCGATATTCGATATTCGTTCTTGTCGATATACGCATAGAAAGAATTAATTTTTCATTACATACGGATCACCTACAAAAACTTTTGTCACTATGCACAGCAAGTGAGACCAATTTACAGCCATGTTGGGCACTGTTTAAGCTCAATCCGAAGGACGTTTTACGACGTTTCATTACACTGACGAAGTATGAGGTGGCATTAGTACAGATTAGAGACCAGGGAAGAGTCGGCACAAAGGACTTCTCTTGACGAACCGACTCCGTGTAGAGCGATGACTGTTCTACCGGCCAAAAAGGTGATGATTACCGATTTCTGAAATTCACAAGGTCTGCTTTCAACCCTTGGAAAGGTCAAACTGGTCTTATAAATTTGGTTAGGAAATGCCGCCTAATCCAACATATTCTCCAAATTTAGTCTCGTTCGACTTTCTGCTGTATCCAAACATGATGAAGTAACTCGTCAATTTGAGTCGAATAAGAAGGTTATCACTTCCACCGTGACCTATTTTGTATACTTCCAGAAAACGTTTTAAATGGGTTAAAGAAGTTGTCCGATCGCTGGCACAAGTGGACCAAGCAAAAAGGAGCCTATAGTGAGAAATAAATCGCAAATTTTTCAAAATTTTATCTTTTTGTTCTGCAGGCGAAGTTCTTATCTAACCGTGCTGGTATATGAGTGTAAAAATTCTGAAATACTCAAAGACAAAAGGAGCTCTCAACAGTGTATACAAGGTTTCAACTCAGAAAATCGAAGAACAATACTACTTTGGACTTTCTAGCTTTAGAAGTTTTCAATGCAGTACTAGCAAATGCTATCAGCACCAGATGGGGGCTTGAGAGGGTAATTTTTTTAGCTGCGTGTTTCGGATTGGTACACATTTGCGAAACGAAACAATGACCATTTATCCAAAATCGCTTAGCTTGCTAAAAACCACTTTTAAGCAGAGAGCTCTAAAGCTATGAGAAGCTATATCAAGTTTACAATGAATAAAAAAAAATTCTTGCGAACTTAAAGAACATCTAACTCCACTCTAAGATGTTTTAACCAAGGCGTTCCATATTCTGCATATATACATATGCTAGTCAGTAGGTATACTCATGTTTATTGAAATTTCGTTCGAAACACTTTATGTGGTTATCGCTGGACTTTTAATGCCACAGAAGACAATAAAAACTGCAGACGGCAGCAAGTCAGCCATTTAAGCAACAAAAACCCAAAACCACTATGGTGCGGTGAGAAAATACTGCCAAAAAATAAAAAATAAACGCGAAAAATAACTTATGAACTCTACCACAAACTGGTTTTGTGTCTTTGGCCCAAACGACGAGATGAACCGCAGAGCTGAACTTAGCAAATGTTTGGGTATGAAAAGTGGCAAGGAGGTGGTGGCAAGTGTGCTACCATTTCATTGATATTTACTTTGAGACTGGCTCAGTTTTTTTGGCTCAGCCGTTTTGCTTGGATCGCCAATGGATTTTTTTGTTTGGTATATTTTTAATTTTTATTTTTTTAGTATTTCAACTCCTTTCTACTTTTCGAAGCCAGCAAACAATTTCTTTTCCAACAGACACTCATTGACCGCCACTGTCATTATTATCTCGCTGCACCGAGTGGTGTCTGGCTTGTCTTTTAGGCTGCGCGCTATAACTTCAACAGCGCATGCTTGGAACTTCAAATTCTATTTGTTGTTGTTTTCTTTCTGTGTTTTCTCATGTTGACTTCTGCAGCATAGAATTTATTTCCAACTTAAGTAAATGCGACTTTATCGCGAAATGCCATCCTGCATACATCCCAAAGGCAAAGTGAAATGTGCGCATGCGCACCGCAGATATTCACTGCAAAGTACTCGTATCTAGGTATCCGGTGCAGGCGTGCAGGCACCGCTTGCATTTCTGTACTTGCAACACATGGAAGTATGGCGTGTGCGCAATGAAGTGTTGAGTAAAGCTTGCAGCTTTGATTTCTAATGGTGCAAGGCAATTGCATAGTCGTTGTTGTTGCCTTTACGCGCGAGAGCCCATGTTTTTGGTTACAGTTTTTCAGTTAAATTTTTTCGGTTTACCCATCGTTTTTCACACATACATAAATATACTTTGTTCGTTATATGTTGTTGTTTTTGCTGCTGCTGCAACGCAATATGGTGAAATGTCTGCGCAGAAGATGCAACAAAGAGATAAACTCCATGTTGGTCTTTCTAAAGCTCACTACAGCTTAAAAAAAACAAAAGAAAAAGACTCACCACAAAACAACGTCAGCAGCCACAATAGTTTTACCTTCTATAGATATATACATATATGTATACCATCATACACCCATACAGCAACACAAACAACAACAATTGCTGCCAAAAGGTTTTTATGTATTTTATTGTGTTTTTGCATTTAAGTCACTTAAGCGTGCTTCGATCCGAGACCTCTCTCCTACAAAGTCCCGTCCAAGCACGGTCCGTTGCTAGGTTGTCATTGCTTCTGCGGAAATGTAAATTAGAAAAACGTGCCATAGCATGGGTCAATAGAGAAGTGGAAGAAATGACACACAGTGTTTGTGGAAAATCTAGTTTTTTTCTTCTTACTCTCATAGAAAAGCTTCCAACCAACCCACAAATTCGAAAACTACGATTTTTTTGTTACGAAAACAGAACACTTTATATGCAGGAGCGTTTTCTTTGTTCAAGCTTGATGAAGCAATTATTTCTGACAGAAAACCTGGGGTTTATTTTGTATACTTCATATACCTAAGTAACAATAAATCTAAATATTTTATATAAATTCCAATGTGAAAAGTAAGTATATACATATTTACGAAAAATCTTCATATAAATAATTCCGCGTCTAATAGATTAACGAAAACTAACTGTACAAGCACTAAAAATGCATTTATTCTAATTTTTATAGATATATGGAGAACATACTCATGAACTCATCAAGAGGAAAAACTAATGCGCCGAAACATTTCCCAGCTGCAAAGGTGCGACACACATTAAATTTCACCGCTTTGATTTGTTGACACTGCGTGGCCCACATTAACTACACAATTACCATAAGAATAATTTTCATGGCTTTAACACTCCACGCTAAGCCGCTTTTCTCAACAAATACCACTTGAAGACCGAGGTAAGTTAGAGGTTGAATGTGGAGACAACGCTAAGCAGCTGAAACCCTTTAGAAAATTTCCATTTCAACAATTGGGTATATGAGTCATAAATGTTGCACGAATGCTGTGCATGTATGTGTTTGTGTATATGTAAGAGTGATCAGCTAAACGAATGTATTTGTTTGTTAGCTTTGTAGTTGTAACGACAGGTAGAATACCTACTTAGGCAAAGAGAAATAGAAAAATTTGAGCAAGAAGTGTAGGTGTATTAAATATTATGTATTAAAGCTGGATTATTTTTAAGGCCCGTCGGCTGGCAGTAGCGCTCAATTCATGCACTACGACTCTGTTTGCACTTATAAATTCAACTTTGTCGTAGAAACCTGATTATTTTCAAAGAAAATCAAGAAAAAAACCTTATTTTCGAAAGCAACAAATCTATAATACCCTTCACAAATAAAAAAAAATTCCATACAGGAACTTGATTTTGATCATTCAGTTTTTGTGGCAGATGTATGCTATAATAGTCCGATGTAAGCAATTTTTTCGAAGATTACCAAGGCAAAGGGCCAATAAACTATGCAAAATTTTGTAAAGATATCTTGTCCAAAAAAAAATTTCCATACCAGAACTTGAGTTTAATAGCTCAGTTTGTATTGGAATATGCTATAGTGGAACAATATCGGCGGTTCCGGCATGTGCAAAATTTTAGATCGATATATCAAAAAATGAGATACCAGTTCGTACAGACGGACAAACGTATACGCCTAATCGACTCAGCTCATCACGCTGATTACTTATATACCACTTCGTGGAACCCGTTTCGACTCGATTGAGGGTCAGCGCCTACAAGGCATATGTGTATCGCTTCAGAAGGGGCATAAATATTGATAAAGATTAAAAACTTTTCGTTTTGTTTACAATTTATGGAAACTTTGTGGTCTTAATGTATATGTGTTTTATAAGGAGAGTCTCCGAAGTTTTCGTTTTGGCAGTACAAACTTCGTGGCAAACTGAATATACCCTGTTCAGGGTATAATAAACGCTGGTAACACTACGCTCCTTCCAGCCCTCCATCGCTCAGCGTGTGACTCAATTTGCGTACAATAAACATAAACAATTTATTACGAATAACACTTGAACACATGCTTTTACATATATCCAAATATATATATACATATATATGTTGCTTGTAAGTCGGCTTGCTCGAAACAATTTGCTATTTGCCATTTACTTGGCGTAATTTATTGCATAGATTTTCGCATAAACTACGTGCTGTGTATGTGTTCGCCGGTTTCTGTGTATCTGTGTATCTATGAATAATGCAAATTGGTCGTCTAACTGATTGCAAGTAGTCGATAGTTGACTTTAGCGCCTGCCTCGGTGACTTTAAGAAGCGAGCGGCTAATACAAATTGCATACATTTCTAGGTCTGTGTGTCAGTACGAACTGCTACTTAAGCACTAACCGTATTCCATACACATATACACATACACACATATATATGTATATATTTCCATACTTGTTGTTGCCAATCGGCTCCACCTATTTAATGACGGTAATTGGCAGTTTAGCGCGACGGGATGCGCTTTGATCTCGCCTCACACCGACGTTTGGGGAAATGCTCGCGCGCTTGCGTCTTGTTGTTGTTGTGCTACTAGTACTGCTGACTGCAATTCTCCTCCTGCTAAATGTCGATAAGAATCATGTTGACAGCATTTGCCTACTGGGCGATTAATGCACGTAATGCATTGCTTAAATCGTCATTGATCAAGATCAGCTTAATGCTGTTATTGTGTGCCGGTGGAGGTGTTGTATGCAATATTACAGGAAATAGTTTCTTTTTTTTTTTTTGAACATATATTAGTGCTTGCCAGTTTTATGGGTGGCAAATGTATAGTAATTTTTGTTAAATCCTGAAGAAAAAGAGTGACAAAATTTACTGCCAGATGATTTATAGCCTATCCATAGAACTACAGAATGCTATACGTTTATATATTTTCTAATCAAGCAGAGCAAACAGAGAGTAAAAGCGATTAGGAGTGCGAAAAGCTGTCATACTTGGTTCGAGCTTAAAATGACACAATAATCTTTCAATATAATATGCAGACTAGACTAGAATCCAAGTAATCCGCAAAGCCAGCTGATAGACTGAAAGAAAAATCAAAAGGTTCTATAAAAAATAATTATATGTGCAAACGCCTGGAAAAGTAAAAATTCCGAAAAAAATTTTCTTATAGAGAAATTTCATAAGCTAAAAACACCATTTTATAAACGCATTTATTTATTTAAATCGGTTTGCACTGGGACTAGGAATGAGGTGGATCCTTACTGAAAACTTATCACTCATAGAAAAAAAGTCACTCACTTTTAATAGTTCTCAATGAAAATTGTATATTACCGAAAGCGTAAAAATGTCTTAATTAAAGTAAATCATATACTGGTTAAAACGAAAACACTAAGTAAAGAGAAGAACAGTGCTTAAAAATAGCAATTGATTTATAGCATAAATAGACTCATAATATTTTGTATCGGTATAACACAAGTGTGAAAAACATCAACAAAAGATCCGAATTTATTGCCAAGGTACAGGTCGAATAAACCTCAACACGAAACAATAATCGCTCGACCAACTTATTAACAAGATTTTTTCCCTTTGACATTTTTCTGTTTAAAAAATTTAAATATTTATCTTTGGCTAGGTTGATTCAATAGACACAATAAAATAACCATTTCACAGTAGGAATGAACGGTTGCTTTTCTAAATTTTCTAAATTAGTTAATTTCATACAAGAACTTGATTGGACAGTTTGTATGGCAGCCATTTGCTATAGTGGTCCTATATCCAGACCAGTTCTACAGACAGACGGACATGGTGAGTCGGCTCGGCTCGTCACGCTGACCATTTATACTTGTATAGAGTCTCCGACGTTCTGGGTGTTACAAACTATGTGGCAAATTTAATAAACTGTTCATGGTATAATAACTCAATTTTTTTAGTTAATTGGGGATATGTATATATTTTTTTTTATTTGTTGAAGAAATATTTAAAGAAATGTATGAAAAGGCACGTTTGATTTTTGGTGTAAAATTAATAAATACCACAAATGTTTTCTAATCTTTCATTTATCGCAATAAAGTAGTTACTGAAAAGCAGCTGCTCGTGAGTCATCTACGACTTTTGATACAATCTAACTTAGAAGTAAAAACTGGTTATGTAAATTATTTATTGTTTAGAGTTTAACATCTCGAGGTGTAGAACCATTAAAAAGCAATGTGTTTCAATAGCTACCACACTTGAGTCATTAATATGAGACCAATAAAAATATAGCGTGACATCTGATACTTTATCGGCAATAGAAACAGGTGGAAAACATATTTTTATATAAAAACGTAATAAAGAATGAAAGAGATTGGTTATTCAACAATAAAAATAAAATTATAAAAAATTTTAAAATATTTAAAAAAAATATAAAAATGTATAAAAAAATATAAAAAAACAAATAAAAATAAATAATAAAAAAATTGAAGTTCAAAGGAAAATTTTAAATAAAAACAAAATACCGCAACTAATGTTGTGCAGACTAATTGCTTAGTGTTCAATGCAGTGCATGCAATGCATTGTTATGTTAGTATTGCAAGCAGCTTAGTCTACAGATTGCCAAACTAAATAGGTCACTGGTTGTTTGGCAGGTATCTGTACGATGTTTATGTAGCAAGCAATGCATGGCCTACAAAATTTCTTTCAAAATTTATCTATTAGTCAAAACAAAACAATGCCTTTGATATTTTCTCTATCGATTGCAGGCTTAGAGGGGCAAGCATTAACTATTTATTTAAACAATCAATTATAACGAGGAAGGCGCTGCTGCCACAAAACAACAACAACAAAATATTAAAAATTGCAAGCGGAGAGAAAAAATTTGAATGGGAAAAGATATAAAATTAATTTTAAAAAAAATTTTAATTGTTAACTAAAAAAAATAGTAAATTTAAAAAAATATGCAAAAAAAAGTCAAAAATTAAACAAAAATCTAAATTTGAAAAAAAATTAAAAACAAAAATCTAAACTTGAAAAAAAAATTAAAATTTGAAAAAAAATAAAACAAAAACCTTAACTTTAAGAAACAAAAATTTTCAAAAAATTTAAAAAATAATCGAAATTTAAAATCAAAAATTAGAAGCACTGAAATATAGAAAATGAAATGCCTAAATAACAAGAGTCAACCATTCATTAGAAAATTGAATACAAATATGATATTCATTGCTAACAAAAGATAGAAAATAAATAGAATAAAAAAATGTCCAACAAGTAGAAGCCAGCGTGGCAGCGTTAGAAATCTAGCATTAAATCTAATAGATTTCACTTTGAACTTTCTGTTTACTAATAAACGCAATACAGCGAAATTCTATTAACATTTTCTAGTATGTGGGCTGTAGCAGTTTACATTAATCACAAAACAAAAATCAAAATACAAAAGCAACAACTACAACGACGACGACAGCGACAGCTACAGCAGATCATAAATAAGCTGGGCAAGTAACAAAAGCGCTCGAAAAAATCTATTGTGGGTAGCTGTGGACCAGTTGTAACGTTCTTCGGCGCTCACACAAATGCGATGTGTAACTCAAAAGTTAATAGTTGTTTTGGTGTAAATTTATATGATTTTTATGTATCGAATGCGCTCAAGTCAAGAATGAAATATAATATGATTAATAAAATATTCAAGTTAAGATGTCTCAATTGTGTTTTTGACAGGCGAAAACTCTGAACGCAATGAGGTTCTATTTTTTTATAGCGATGTGTGAATGAGTGGTTGAGCCCACGCGAAGCCGCTGAAATTTGTACAGATTAAAAATCATTGAAAAATTATAGAATGTCTAACCTAAATAAATATTTATTTGCTTCTATTAAATGAGAGAAATTGTAGTAAATCTGTTTATAGCATTTATTAATTTTATACGCTCAGCTTGTTGCGTTGCAAAACAAGAAATTTAAAAATATTACCCATAATTCATGTGTGGCTACAACCTGCTGTTTTCAAAAATTGTAACTTAAAAAAATTAAAAAAACTAAAACAAACTAAAACAGACAAAAATTAAGGAAAAAATTAATAGGGAATTAGAAAACAAGTAGAGATCAGGATCATAGCTGTACAACGATACATTGATATTAGAAAAACCAGCTCTTTCAATTTCACTGAGATAACTCACAGATTGGCCGATATATGTGGTAAAAAGTCAACTGAAAGTTGGAAAATCCATATCTTAAGCATACCGGGGATAAGGGAAGTATTGATCCGATTCGACCCATTTTTGACACAAGGGTGCAAATTTTTATCCCGATATATTAATTAGTGCTTGATTTGTGTACTTCAAAGTAAAAAAATCAGATGGAATTTAAAGTTGAGTTCTGTGGGAAGTGGGCGTGGTTACCGTCCGATTTCGCTCATTCACACTGTCAAATTAATCTAATGTACCAAATTTAGTTGAAATTGGTGCAGTAGGTTCGGAGATATGGAATTTAACCTGAATGTGGGCTGTACCACGCCCATTGTCCAATTTCGATACCTACTTCTATAAAGCCCTCTTGCGACATCTTGGATGTAAAACTTAATGTCTCTGAGGCATTTCGTTATTGATTTATCGCAGTTTTAGTAGTTTTTAACAAAACCGTTATATGGGGAGTGAGCGTGATTATCATCATATTTCCCCAATTGCTGTCATGCTGTCGCCAGAGGTGTATAATGATATGTGTCAATTTTGGTGATATAGCTTGAATAGTTTGAGAGATATAGGTATACATTGGGTGAGGCCACACCCAATTTTAAAAAATTGTCAAACCACAAATGCCCCTCATTATCGTGATTTATTGTACCAAATTACGGTTTTTATTTACCAAACTCCTACAAGTAGAAAATATTTATTTTATGTATTCAAAAACAAAATTTTGTACCAAAAAAATCACTTTCTAGTTAATCGATTATAAATCAGGAAAAAAATATTTTGCCACAACCAATCTTGAAATGAGCATATCAATGAGCGTGCAAAATATATTTTTCATGCATAATAATGCAAAATATTTGAATTTTATACATGATAAATTGGTTTAAGCTTTGGAAATGTCAACACTGATGAATTACCGACTATGAAGATGGCTTTCAAACCGGTTCGCTCATTGCGCTTATAATACTAAACTGTGAATATTCACTGCTATTAAGTTAAACGCTATAAAATATGTGTTAAATAATTCTTCAGGTTTGTTTGTGTCATTTTATGTAAATTTCTGTTATAATGCGTTATAAGATGCGAATTATAACCGAAATTAATGTTTAATTATTCAAAAAAAATTTAAGCTAACAGAATATTCCCCTTTCTATTTCTCTAGTTTGGTTGTATAGCATTCCTTTTTTTGGTACTGGTTTACCGTTAAAATTCTGTAGTAGAAAAAGTTATTTTGTTTATTTTTATTTTAGGGGCTTGAACAGTTTTGGTTCGATTTAGAAAATTTTTGGTCACAAGGTGCCATACTTTAAACGTATTATTCACGCAAAGTTTTACCTCGATATAATCATTGTTGCTTGATATGCATAGTGGAAAGTGAAAAAATCCTATGGAATTTAAAATGATGTTATATGAGAAATAGGCGTGGTTGTAATCCGATTTCGCCCATTTTCGCACTGTAACCTAGAAATATGAAAATAATGTTATGTATCGAATTTTGTTGAAATCGGTTAAGCAGATCCCAAGATATGGGTTTTCACCTAAAAGTGGGCGGTGCCACGCCCACTGACTAGTTTTGAACGTGTTTCCTATAAAGTCATCTTATACCATCCTAGAGATTTAATGTCTCTGGCGTGTTTATTGCTTGATTTATTGCGCTTTGAGTATTTTTTAACAGTACCGTTATATGGGGAATGGGCTGTAGGTAGAAGTGCTAAAAACATTTGCTTCCAGTGAATTTTGTTATTATATCTTTAGCGGTTTAGGATTAGTTTAGATATGCATATTAAACCTACTAGAGGCGGGACCACGCCCACTTTTTAAAAAAAATGTAACGCAGATGCCACTCCCTAATGTGATCCTGTGTACTAAATAACCGTATTTTACCTTATTGCGTAGCTTAGATTAATGGCGTTTTGTGGGCGTGGCAGTGGTCCGATTACGCCCATCTGCAATACCAACCGTCTTACGGTATCAAGAAATATGTGTACCAAGTTTCATAAAGATGACTCAATTTTTACTCAAGTTACTGCTTGCACAGACGGACGGACGGACAGACAGTCACCCGGATTTCGACTCGTCTCTTTATCCTGATCATTTATATATATATATATAACCCTATATCTAACTCGATTCGTTTTAGGTGATACAAACCTATTATACTCTGTAGCAACAAGTTGCGAGAGTATAAAAAACATCGTTTTAGGAACATCGATATATAGTAAACCTTGGCCATGATGAAACACAACATGAACAAGTTTCTGAACTAATTTATGACAATGGATATGTCCAATCGGCAGTCAACTGTATGATTGTTGCCCGGTGAAAGTTTTCTAAAGCGCCAGTAGGTTGAAAATTTGTTAGCCGGCATTTTTTGGGAGTCACAATGAGTTATTTGAATCGATTATTTCCAACATGGTAAAATCATCGATAAACAATGTAACAAGCGTTATTAGATCAATTGAACATCGAAATAAAAGTTATATTTGAATAATTTAGACAAAGAATAACCAGTTTCTCTTAATTTTTTTTTAGTAGTGAACCTTATAAAATATGTTTTTGTGTGATATACCATAATTTAAAAAAATGTAGCAAGAGCTGTTAAAAAATGAAGAGTTCAATTTTGGCTATAGTTCTTAAGGAGTTCTAGTCTAAAAGCATGAAGTTTAGGTAATTTTTGAAGTGTCGCAATATAGGCAATTAATTTTTTTTTCTATCCATATTTCATTAGTTATTTATTAACATTACACGAATATAGGAAAAAATCAAAACATACATAAATTTTAAAACTTCAAAAATTAGCAGCTGATAAAGCGGGGCCCTCAAAAAATTGGCACGTTACCATAGCCACAATTTCAACCCTCCTAGTAATCTGAAACCAAAAAAAAAATATTATTAATCTAAAATAATGTATCTATTCTGGAACTAAGGAAATGTTTGAAAAAAAAGACGAAATTGCGCATGCCTGTAAAAAAAAGGGGGTTATGGCTAGTTCCAAACATCGACAAATCTATAAAGAAGACTCTCTAAACATTTCGTGTAAATCGGTCCAATAGAAACCGGGAAATCATGGGTATCGTTTTGAAAAAAGACAGTTTTGAGAAAAACGCGTTTAAAGTTTCAGTTCCGGCCGAACCAGTTTGAATGCCGGGTCAACAAAATACATTTATCTTCAAAAATAATTCGAATTTTGAAAACTCCTCTTGCAGACATATTCTGGAATAGTTAAACTTTGAAAAAAAAATCAATTTTTTTTTTTTAATTTCTAAATTAGAATACCGCCTTAAGTATACTCAAAAACAATGAAAGGAGACGTGGTTGTAGCACGATTTCACCCGTTTTCACATTTACCATAGGTTTAATGGCATATTGTGGACGTAGCAATAGTCCGATTACATCCGCCTACAATACCGAACTTCTTATGATGTTCCTTGGCACTACTGTGTACTAAATTTCATCAAGTATCTTAAACTTTACTCAAGTTTCAAGTTGCACGGACGTAAGGACGGACAGTCAACCCGATTTGAACTACTGATAATTTATGTATTCATATGTACATAACTTTATATCTATCTTGGTTAATTTCAGCGTTACAAACAACCGTTTATATTATACTCTAAAGTAACATCTTGCGAGAGCTAAGGATTTATTTTGGCTATTATTAAGATTCA